TAAGGTGATCGCAAGAGGACAGTAAATCCTCAAGAACTGAAGGAACATGTCACGGCAGCTACGAGCATCGATTCCCGCTAAAGGGTTTTTTTTTGTCATTTCTTTTTAAACGACAACCGGCGACGGATAGAGGAAGGCATCCTCGAAGTCTGGCACAACCCATACGGAGTACAGGTGGGGAAATTCCAGCACCTCAGAGGTCAAAGCTTACGAGCCCGTATACGAGCAAGGCCTCTCAATAGAAGGCCGAAGCCCCCCGTCTCGAAGGTCTCAAGCCCACCGTCAAAGGTCCCACACATCTCTAGTACCATGGATCTGTAAAGATCAGATTCGAAGAGGGAAAGATCAGAATAGGGCTTCTCAGGCGACTGCCGAGCGAGGTCGACGGACAAAGCCGGAGGAGGATCCCTTAATAAATCCTTTGATCGATCGCGATTGAAATGATTTTGCACCATACCGGTGGTCGACGATGATGGCAGCAAGATCCTGAGAGAACGACAAAGATGAAGATAGTGAGAAAAACCTAAGAATACAAGAGGATCAATGGGAATGAATATGATAAGAGTTTGTTTCAATAAAAAATGTTTTTATTTTAGGAATTGTGTGTGTGTGTGTGTGTGTGTTTTTTTGATAATGTAAGAACCCGCAGTTGCTACTTGAAAGTGCGCAATGGATAAACCCCCGGCCGAACCTAATACCCTGCAAACTAGGTCCAATAAGGCAAGTCACACTAAGCGAACCATGTGTAGCAGGTGGACCTGAAGGCATTGGGGTTTAAACCCATGACCTTACGATAACAAGTTTACTCTCCACACTATCAGACCATCCCTTGTGGGACTTAGGAATTGTGTTTTAGATTTAATTGTTGTGGTTTATTTTAATAATTGTGTTTAAGTTTTAATTTTTTAATTTGTGTTTATTTAAAAATGGATGTATAAATAAATGTATTTATATAAATACGTGTAAAAGTAAATGTATGTGTAATATAGGGTGAGGGTCCACACTTACTAAAAATGAAATGTAAACTTTGTAATTAGAAAACTAAAATGGAAAAATATAAACTTTGTAAGCGGACGGAGGAAGTACTATTTTTCTTTCAAATATTCTTCTCATCCTCCGAAATCTCAAAGAACAAGACTAACATAAAAATCTTCAATCTTAATAGTTTTTGTCATTTTTCCAACCGATTTCATGTTTGTTTCTTCCATAGATTCTCACCAAATATGATTACTGAGTTTGAATTTTTTATTATTTTTTTAAAGTTAGGGTTTATTTGTTGGGTTATGACCGAATTTTGTTAAAGAAGTTAGATATTGTCTTTAATATGAAGTTAGACTACGTTGTATTTTGATGTAGTTGTTAGATTTTGAAATGAGATATTGGAAATAAAATATTAAGATATTTTGATATGCTTGTGAAGTTCAATTTCTTTCTACGTTATTTGTGAAAATTTATGTGTTTTTTTTTTCAATGTTAAAATATTCGTTTGTGTGACAATAGTTAATGCAATACAGTTAATTTGTATAAGGCCTTCTCTATTATGTTTTAAGATTTTTAACATTTTATTATTCTTAGTCCAATATAATATGTAATTAATTGTATACTTGTTTATGTTTGCGAAGATTTCATTTGCATCGTCTAACACCTGTATGTTTATGTGATAAAGAAAGTGTTCCCAAAATATCAAGAAGTGAAAGAAATCATAGAATGTAGTATTACATACGTGATCCTCGTAGAAAATTGTCAGGTTGGAAAGAAGCTGAAACTAGAAATGCCACTTGTGACCGTGAGGTCATGGGTTCAAACTCCCGACGCTTCAAGTCACATGCCACACATGGTTCGCCTAGTGTAACTTGTCTGTCGGGTTTAGTTTGTAGGATATATTAGGTTCGATCGGAGGTTTACCCAGTGCGCACTTTCGTGTAGCGGCTGCGGATTCCTACGTCATAAAAAAAAATAAAATCAAATTCTTCTTATACAGGTAAGGCAAATGCTAGTTCTATTCGTCCTTGTGCGACTAGTGATGTTTGATGTCCATGTCTTTGCACAAATAAGATATATTGAGAGATGGAAACCTCCATGTTAGATCATATAATGATCTTACATACTATTATTTCCATGTTAATTCCTTTTTTTTTTTTTTCATGACGTGGGAATCCACAATGCGTACTATAGTTAAACCCCCGGCCAAACCTAATACCCTGCAAACTATTCAATGTATTTCAGTGCAATGATTTGTGATGTATGGAATTACTCGAGTATCTTGGCTGTAATGCACATATTTCTGTATAGTTTGTGTTGTGTTTTAGTTTTGGGTAAATTATATAACACTCCCTTATATTTTAGTAAAAATGTATAAAACACTATGTGTTTTATTAATTGCGTGAAACTCCCATATGTTAACTTAAAGTTTGCACGAAACACCCCTTGTTAAAAACTGATGTTTGGTTCTGAATAAAGACCTAAATTACGCAAGTTTTATACAAATAAAAAACGTAAAATATTTTAAATAATTTTTTGAATAAAATAAATAAACAAATAAATAATTGACCAATCATTTATCTTTATAATTTTTGTAAAAACCGATAACAATTTGTCTAAAAAATATTATAAAATGAAGAATTAATCAATTATTAATTTATTTATTTTATTTCAAAAAAATTATTTAAAATATTTTATGTTTTTTATTTGTATAAAACTTGCGTATTTTAAGTTTTTATTTAGAACCATACATCAATTTTGGACAATGGTGTGTTTCGTGCAAACTTTGCATTAATACAAAAGAATTTTACACAATAAATAAAATACAAAGTGTTCTGTGCATTTTTATTAAAACACAAGAGGAGTGTATATAATTACCCTTTAGTTTTTATTGTAATGTTGGTTATGATCCTTCTATTAAATTTTGATTTTTTTATGGGTTGCCCTATTAAAAGACCATTTCATAGAGACGTAACACTCCTTGTAAGGTTTTGATTTTGGGTTTTGTTTTGAATAGTAAAATTTTGAATTAAAATAGTTAGTTGATGTGATATAAATATGTATTGATTCGATATTTTGAATGTAAAATGAAGTTTTAATAAATAAATAATAGGTGTTTGATTTGACGTTTTTTGAGAGAACAAAGGTTAGAATAGTAAAATCATGGTAAAAATCTTACGAGTAAATAGACCCTAAAGATTTTCAAACTAAAGTTTAAATAAAAAAATTCAAATTTTTAAATCCAAATACAAACCAAACAAACCCAAATCAAATAAAAATAATTCAAAACACCAATGTTTAAATATGTTTTGAAAATATTCCAAAATTTTATTTAATATAGAAAACAATTTATAATATAATATTTTAAATAAAAAGCAAATATTCAATCTGAAAAAATATATATATTGTTTACCAAATTAGACTTGACAAAATATATATAATCAAAACAAACCCAAATTTTTTTGAGAATAATAAAATCAAAGAAACAACAATACCACATAGCAAATGAGTTGAGCGTAGTTTCTTAGGGGATGGTCTCGTGGTGTAGGAATTGGACTCGTGACCGTGAGGTCATGGGTTTAAAAATAAAAAATAGGTTCTCTAAATTTAAAAGTTTTTTTTCTTTTAAAAAAAATTATTTTAAATCATAAATGTAATAATTTATTACAAGTCATAACATATTTTACAAATAATAAAATTACAATATTAAAAAGTAAATGTAAGAATAAAAAAAATTACTAATTTACTTAATGTTACTTGAAAAAACTTATTTTTTTTAACGTTTCCTAAGGCAAATTTATCAATCAGAACTAGTTCATTAAGTCTTTCCTATGACATAGAACTACACAAATAATTTTTGAGTAATTTTAATTTTAAAAAACTTTTTTTCAGATGATGAAAATTATTTAATATATTCTATATTTGGATTAAAAAAACAATCAACATGTTTCAAGAAATTTAAAATACCAAGAACTCTTAACTTTCCTTTTTTGATAAAAATATTTGAAGTAATTTCAACTCTACATATAAGTAATATCCATTAATATAACATTTATGACCATTTTTAAATTTATCTTGTAAATTAATACAACAAGACTTCAAACTTAAGTCATCCAATGAATGCAATTTTTCAAACGAAAATAAAAAACTAAGGGTGTGTTTGTTTGGGGGTTTGAATTTTGAGTTGGAATTTGAATAGTAAAAATTTTGAATTTGAATAGTTGTATGATGTAATATAAATAGGGTTTGATGTGATGTTTTGAATGTAAAATTGATTTTTAGTATAATATAAAAAATGAAAAATAAGTGTTTGATTTGATGTTTTTAGGGGGGAAAATTTGGATGAATAGTGGAAATCCATCAAAATCTTTCAAGCAAACACACCCTAAAAATATTTGCATATTGCTCGTATTGTTCAAATCTTTTTCAAGAGAAACAATTGTTTTATCAATAATAAAATATATATATATATTCTTTTTATAAATAATTTATGGTGTAATTTTAGCATATTTACTTTAATATTACTTTTATATATATATATATAAAGTTATTATTTATTAAAATATATTAATGAACCCCCGCAAATTAAAAATTGTAATCCTTTTATTTTTCGATAAACAATCTATTTGTAACTTTAATATATCTTCTTTAATATTTATATCTATTATTATACTATAATATTATATATATATATATATATTAATATATGTATTTATGGGCCCTACGAAATAAGGCCCTGTACTGTACGGTTGCTCATGGAACACGTGCTATATAGCGAGCTTTGCGATCACATAGAAAAACCACAATTTATATATATATATATACATATAAAATAATACTTCCTACCTTTTTTAAGTTTTGTAGTAGATTAATAAATAATAGTATTTTATTAGTCAATGCAAGCTTGTAAGATATTTTTATAATTTAGGTAAAAGTTAAAAGATATTTTGGTATTGATGTATAATTATTCTTACTAAAATAAAAAAATAAATACTTTGGAATGAGACGAACAGTAAAAAAAAAAAAAAAAAAGTATTTTGAATTGGGATGAAGAGAGTACGAATTTTTTGGTACAAAATATCATCAAGTTATTTAATCCCAAAAAGCATAACACAAACTAACAAAAGCAAACAAACCCCAGATGTCAAGAAAATGCTTGACCCAACATTCCCAAGCTCTTATACTTTCCCTGTGCATGAAGCCACGAAATGCAAAACTAGAGCTAAAACCAAACAAAGAATATGGGTGAAGCCAAGCTTCCTGTTCCTGTTAGTCATAGGCAGAAAGGGAATTGAAATCCTCCCAAAGCAGCCAAGAAAAGGTTCAGAATGCAACAAAGCCTACATGGCAGTAAAGGTATGCCCTATTCTAAAAGGAACCCAAACTAATTAATTTGCAATGACAACCAATATATATGCAAGTATATAAGAAGAACCTATGCTATTCCACACACAAACATCACCAAATCAAGAAAACATTATCAGAAGCTAAATCAAGAACTTACATGGATCCAAGTATGGCGGCTCACACAAGCAATTATAAACCTGGCTCAGATTTAATTCAAGAGGACGAATGCGACACTCTCCTCTTGTATCTCCCAGGTAAGTTTCTTTACTTTTCGCCGAGTTTTCGTAGTGAATTGGAGACAACATGCATGAAAAACAGATATGTGTCGACAATTAGAAAAACAAGTCATGTGTAAGAATAAAAGCTTCCTATGTTATATCAAATTGCCGCATATGAACGGCCGGCCGTGGGTGAATTTTCAGGGTTCACTAAAGAACAGTTGAGAGTGCAACTTACTAGCACGGGAGCTTTAAGGATCAGTGGAACCAGGCCAATCGGAGACAACAAGTGGAGCATATTCCAGGAAACTTTCCCTATCTCGGCAAACTGTGACAACAACAAAATCACGGCAAAATTTGAAGGGGGGATACTATATGTGAAGCAGCCAAAGCTGATTGTTCCAGCACAGAAAGACGAGAGGAAAATCCCACCATCAGTCACCCCACAACCACAAACGCCACCTCGGGCACCAAAGATCGATCCACCAGCTCGCCCCCAGAACACCACACCAAATGATGATCGGATTAAGAAAACTGGTGTTGAGAATCCTTCTGAGAAACCTGCTCAGAAAAAACAAGAAAAGCCCACAAAAGAAGAGGAGAAAAGCAGTACCGACGCAAAGGGTGATAGGAAAGATGAAACAGAGCTTCAACAAGAGAAGATAAGTGATAGAGCCAACAGTGATCTGAAGGCTGCAGGAAGAACTACAGGTGGTGATAATCCTGAAGGAGGTGCAGGAAATATAGAAGCTGATTCCATAAGTAAACGAACTAAGTATCATGACATAGCTGGAGTAGAAGGTTACAATCACTATGCAGGAAGTCCCACAACTAGACTGAAGATGTCCGGGGAGACGATCAAAATGGTCCTGGCTGCTCTCTTTGCTTTTCTGCTGGGGATGTACTTCAGCAATCTGTCCTGGCTTTCCAAAGGGAACTAAAAAGCTCTGATCTGCATTTTGAAATTGAAATATCAACAAGCCATGTAAATTCAATTTATCACAGTGAATAAAGGAACTAAAAAATGTATTGCAGAGCCTATACTCAGTTTCCTCTTAGGGAAATGCTTGTAAATCGAAAATCTATAGGAACGAAAGGTTGTAATGTAAATCCAGAATTGGAATTGTATTTTATTTGTCTTTCAAGATTTGGAACTCACTTGTTAGCTATCAACTGCTTACGGATGATCTTGACAGCAGCAACCATATTGCTCAGTGCTGGCTTGACTTCAGAATATTTGCGCGTCTTGAGGCCACAGTCAGGATTGACCCAGAGGATGGTGCAGTCAAGAACTGCAAGCATCTTTTTGATGCATTCGACAATTTCTTCAACAGATGGGATTCTTGGTGAGTGAATATCGTATACACCTGGGCCTATACCAGCACTATACTTCACACCCTCATGGAAAACTGATAGAAGCTTCTCATCAGACCTAGAATTCTCAATAGAGATGACGTCTGCATCCATGTCCATGATTGAGTGGATGATGTCATTGAAATTTGAGTAGCACATATGCGTGTGAATCTGTACAAGATATATAATGTGCAGAAATTTAGAAGAATAGTAACGTAAAAGAAAAAGGTATGTGTGCAACAATATTTATGTCTATTTTCAGCTTTCATGCTCACAGTCGAGATTGAATCAATGTTTGCGTATGTAAAATATTCAAGTGATTACTGCTTGCAGTCCATTGATTTCTCAGCTAATCACAGCTCATGCCTGCATGAATTTTGTGAAAACCAAAAAAAAGAACTGCCTACTCCTCCCTTTTGCAGGTGGAATGCATGCATTGCTTGTTACTAGACTTTCTAAACAAAAACTGTGAAATTCTGGATTTAATTCCTGATTGGTTTATTCATCAACACAAGTTAGAATATATACAAGTATGATTGAAAGAAAATCTTTAGAAAAAAGGAAACTAAATCCTATAAACTAGGAAACTTCCTAACTAGGAAAAAAAAAGGAAAACAAATCTCTTCTAATAGATAGTTATACAAAGATTTTCTATACTAATATACACCTAATTTTCTATATTTTCTACACTCCCCCTCAAGCTAGGCATTATATACTTATCATGCCTAGTTTGGAACAAATCATGGTAGTACGGTGAAGAGCCTTCGTAGGATGTCTGCAATTTGGTGCTGAGATGGAACATAACTCAAAGTAATTACTTGGTCTTCGATTTTTCCACAGATGAAGTGCCTATGAATCTCTATGTGTTTGGTCCTATCATGGTGAACTCAATTCTTCGCCATGGGAGTAACAAACTATCACTCTTTATGCTAATAGGACCCTCAGACTTGATCCTTACTTCTTGTAATAGTCTTTTCAACCACATTCCCTCACATATTCAATGCGCTAGTGTGACACCCCGGCCCGCAAACCACGCAAAGTCGGGCGTGTCGGGATTGTAGACTGGCCCCATAGGTCAACAAGAGTTCTTCCAGCGCTCTTTGTCCTCACCCACGCGGACCCGGAGAGGCTTTCCAAAGGGTCACCCATCCTCAAATTACTCTAGAACAAACATAATTAACTCTAGAGTTCTTTTTGACTTTATGTTATGGAGTTGGATAAGATCAAGATCTATATTAGAAGAGGGAAAAGCACTGTACTCACCTAAGATAATTATAATTTTATTCCTTATTATTTTATTTACTGTTTAATTTTTCCGCCTATATATAGGGTGCATCTACGTTATGTTAGGCTAGACAGTCATTATTTTGATTTTTGTTACCGAACAAATTGATTTTCCTCTATGGTTCTCTATTTCCATTGATTCGAATAAAGTTTTCTTTTTGACTAATCCTAAGTCATAACAATTGGTCCGACCTGCCGGGTCCTTTATTGACGGAATCATGCCCATCTCCAATCAACAACTATTCGAACTGCTGGAATAAGCCGTTAGGGAAATACAGGAGGTGGTAAACCAGATCCGCTAGGATTTTTGTGCCAAGGTCGAGAATTTGGGAAAATAGAACACGAATTAGATGGTGTCGCTGCTGCAAGGGTTGCTCACTACGATCGAGGCAGCGCTCAGCAGCGTCAGTAGGTCAGCCACCGACGCAATTCCCAGTGCCCTCAGCATTGCCACCCATAGTGCAACCTCCACTCGTGCCGCATTCTCAACCGTTAGGGGGGTTGACCCCTCGCCACGGCAGCTTCGCCACCCCGCTCCTCTCAAAAGTAAGACTACCACTGTTTGACGGGACAGAGCCTATTAGTTGGATTGCTCGCGCCAAGCAACAGTTTGAACTCCACCAAGTGCGAGCAGAACTCAAGGTAGCATTAGCGCGCATAGTTATGGAAGACACAGTGTTGCACTAGTTTCGATGGCAACACTTTCGCCATCCAACCGTCATGTGGACGGAGTTTTCCCGAGCCCTAATACTTCGTTTTGATGATTGTTACGTACGGAGCCCCTATGAGCGCCTAACCACAATTCGGAAAAAAATGAGTTGATCAGTATATCAACAAATTCATCCAACTGGCGACACAGGTGCCAGGCTTGACGGATGAGCATTACCTCGGATATTTCATGGAAGAATTGCAGCATAACATTTGAAATCGTCTAAGGACACTAGACCCTAAAGATTTGGACTCAGCTATCCAGATCAGCCGCAACATTGAGGCTAGTTCTGCCACGACATATCAACAGCCTGGCCAGTTTGCGAGTTCGCACCTTAGCGGTGGAGCACAGACTGGACCTCCGGTAGGTCCTTTTAGTCTTGGAAGTGGCATCGGGAGCAGTAGACTAGGCACGGAGAGCAACTCCATTGGCGAACGCCTGTTGGCGTCGGACTAGTCCTCCGTGCGAGTCCCCTTAACTGAGTCGTGAAAAGTGCTGCGAATGTCAGTCTAAACGACTTTGTTACATTGGTGCGGACTAATGGACAAGGATTCGACTTGGGTTGACGAATAGAAATTGTGCTTCCACAATCCTGTCTTCCACCTTGAGGACAAGGCAGTTATCACGAGGGATAGAGTTGTTATGGAGTTAGGTAACGTCAAGATCTATATTAGAAAAGGGAGAAGCACCGTACTCGCTTAGGATAATTATTATTTTATTCCTTATTTCTCTTATTATTTTATTTACTGTTTAATTCTTTATTATGAGTCTTGGGCTTGGCCCATAAGTCCGCCTATATATAAGGCACATCTAGGTCATGTTAGGTTAGATAGCCATTATTTTGGTTTTGATTACAGAGCCAATTAGTTTCCCTCTGTGGTTCTTTATTTTCATTAATTCGAATAAAGTTCTTTTTTTTTCCTAACCCTAAGTCATAACACTTTCAGTAGAACTCCCGAAAAGATATATGCACATTATTGACATGAGTAGTCTATTCAATCCATTTGTCCTCTAATCAACTTGGATGGCCTAGTATCGGCTCATTCACACACGAAAGTTGGCCAAGCAACGGCCAAACTCTAGGGGTATCACATCCTTCCCACTTTAAAATGCAACGTCCACGTTGCACCCAAGGATCGTCAACTGCTAGGCCCCTCAACAGTCAGGTCAACGATTGTGCGCTATCGCAGATCGGCTTTGATACCAATTGTGATACCCCGACCCACAAACCATGCAAAGTCAGGTGTGTCAGGATTGTAGACTTCTCAGGGGTCACTCATCCTCAAATTACTCTAGAGCAAGCACATTTAAATCTAGAATTCTTTTAGTAGGGCTCCCGAAAAGGAATATGCACATTGTTGACATGAGTAATCTATTCAATCCATTTAAGCACTAATCAACTTTGGATGGCCTAGCACCGGCTCATCCACACAGGAGTTGGCTAAGCAACGGTCCAACTCCGAGGGTATCACATCCCGTAAGATAAAGATGATGAAGGTAGTTTGGTCGCGACATAGAATTGAAGAAGCGACATGGGAAATTGAGCAAGAAATACGAGAAAAGTATCCAGAGTTGTTTGAGGTAGCAAGAAATACGAGAAATACGAGAAATAATGAGAGACCAAGTGGCTGACCACCAGGTCGGGAAAGCCTCAGCCGCCGAAGGTTTAAGGCGGAAGTGTAAGTAAGAATTGGAGGTAATGTAGTCGGTGAGTTGGGAAAGATAGGGCGGTATGAGCTCGGGGATCACTAGCCCTTCCGGGCTTTGAGGTATAAGGTGAGGTCAGACCAGTGGTTCCGGCAAGCCCTGACAGCAACCGAACTGTCGGGACAAAAATTGGGGTTGATAGTTAAAGGTATAAAAAGATCTGTAGTTTTTCTTGTCCGACCTCTTACTTGAAAATAGAGATCGGGGTTTCAAAGCAGAATCCCACGAGAAGGGATAGGTCGGATGGGGAAGAGGATTAGGATAAGATCGAGGATACGGAGTATCGGGGTAAAGCCAAAAAAGGCCGGTGGCATATTGGATAAGAGTTTCATAAACATAATAACGGGAGTTGCTACGGTCCTCGGTCAAAATTTGGGTGATGACGGGGTCAGATGGATGAAGATTAGAAGAGCTAGGAGTTAATCGGGTTAAGGAAAAACCTATCGACCTCTGAGGGTTCGGACTAATAGGCAGACGGCCAAAGAATGCATTCGGGAAGTATAGGCGAAGCGACAGCTCCAGGAACCAAAATGGTCCCGAGGCAGCTGTGTCCGCCTTTTTGGTGTCGGTTAAGCGGGTGCTCACTCGAGATAAGCCCTCAAAAAGGTTAGCTAAAAATAAGGTACCTTAAGGAAAAAAAATTGGCCACTGGCCAGATGAATAGCCAGATCGACCTGAGAAGAAAGGACGAGCTTGGAGGGGGAAAGAATTATATATATGTGAAGAAAGAAGAAACTTAACTAAACATTCAACTTCGAGTTTATATGAAAAGTATAAGGAAAAGAAAATATATCTGCATAGCCCAAAAATGAGGAAAGCAATGTGTTCCAGCTCGGAGACAGGAGTGCCTTCTTCGCCCAAAAACTTGGTGACGAAGCTTGTCCAGCCTCTCTCCTTCTCGCCAAGTTTGGCAAGAGCCCACCCGCGTGGTCGGGCGAAGGCTCCCGACCCTCGAAAGAGATCAGAATGGGATCGTTGCCCAGTATGGGTAAATGGGCGATAATGGCCACGTCCATGAGGGTCGGGCCAATAGGACCAGAAGGGAGAAAGAAAATTCTTATCTGCGAATGCCAGAAGGCCGCCATTGCCAATAGGGCCTTGTCATGGAGGTGAGGAGGCTGGGTTGAAAGGAGGATGGCCTTATCGATGCCCTGCTTCCTCCATTGTTCTTGAAAGTGGGGGAGAAGTCTCGCATACCACTTACGGTAGGCATCTTTAGGATCAGTGAGGTGAGTCCTGATGCGGTCCAGGAGTCTTTCCGGCTTGAAGGCAACATCAGTTATGGCCATTGGAGAAACTTGGGAGACGACGAGTTTTATACGATCGGTGTCTTCGGTGGTGGTGCAGTAGGGACGAATAGTAGGAGTAAGAACCCTCGAAGCCACAAAAGGCACCGATGGATCAGTCCCGTCAAAAGGTAAAGCAGGAACATATTGATTGGCCATGGTGAGAGATGTGCAGAAAACGAAAA